ATATGTCTGAGTCAACATGGCCAGCCTCCCACCCAGTGGCAGCATCACCAGCAGAGTGTGGCTGAGGAGGCCTTGCTGGTTCTGACTCTTAGCTGGACCACTTGGTGGCCTTCCCTAATGGCCTCTCTCACACCGTGAGGGGGCAGCTCTGCTTCAGGATGTGAGTGAACCTGAAAGAGCACACACCTCTCCATTAATGACAGCTGTTCTCGTTGGCGAAAGTATGTCCCATAAAGTCACCACCAGCGCCGAGTGACCAAATGCTGATCCTTCCTCTCAAGGAGGCAGGCCAGGTCCCTGTGTGCCTCTGGACACAGCTCTGTCAACCAATCAGTACCAAGCCTCCTTTGTTGTGTGCTTCTGCCTAAGATGCCTTGTTAACATTTACTGTTGATGTGCTGACTCTGAATTCCCAGCTGACGGTGCTGTCACTCAGCCTGGACAAAATGTCTCCTGTACACGACTTTTCTTTCTACACCTCTCAGGCTTCTTGTGCTCGGGACACTAGTCAACCCTTTAGTATGCACTTGGAGGCATTTTAAAAAGAAAAAACACTGACAAAAAGCACAAGATGCAAACAATGTTTGCCTTACTCACACTAAGCTGAAATAAGAAGGCAGAGCATTTGACCTCAGGTGGAGGTGTGTTAGCAACTCAAATTTGTCACCACTTTGCACATGACTTTGAATGACCCCGAAGTGCCTCGAGTATGGATTTGGAGGTTCACATAGACTTTAGTGTGTGGGGAATCCACAAATAGTAGGGCTTGATTGTCTATTAATTCTGTATGTGACATTCACCACAAATGTACCGGAGAAACATCCGTGGCTGTCGCTTCAGGGACCAGTCCCCGTGACTGATGCAAGGTCAAGGTCAAGCTGACCCTCCGAGGAAGACAGGCAGTTAGCTGGAGTCAGATGCTGCAGAGAGAGTGTATCGATCTGCAAATGTACATTGTGCTCATGTCTTACAGCAATTTCTAGTAGTACATTTTTTTTACAGGGAGGGGGGTCAAACCCAGAGCCTTGCATATGCTACATCTTGGGGAAACCCTAGGGATATTCAGGTACATGGGGGAGAGACTGTGTACATCCCCTTGCTATCCTGGTTGGTGGCTGGGGTCATGGCAAAGGTGCCAGAGCCTTGCCCCTTCAGCACTGGGACTGCAGCCCTCCCTTGAAGCTCAGTACCCTGTGTGACCATGAGGCAACACTCCACAGCCCGAGGCTTCTCTGGGTTTGCTGCACCTAGTACCCACAGCCTGGAGCAGAGCTGCCCTCCCTCCCTGGGCTACACAGGGAGGAGTGGCCTAAGACACGGTACCCCCCGGTCACCAGCAGAGACGCGCAGGGCTTGTTCGGGCATAGAGTTTCTGATGTACCTCCCAGTGGCCGATTTGGCCTCATTGGTGTTGTTTCTCTTCCTGCACTAGAGCTTTGTGCCACCTCCACCCCTCCATCTGCCTGTGGAAACAGCCTGGGAGGGTTCCAGCCTGTCTTGGGTTCTTCCTTGGCCTCCCGTTAAACCACATGGACCAGGAAAGGGGGTGTCATGACACTCCATAGCTGTTGCTGAAAGGGACCCAGCCCAGCCCGCACCCCCCCACCCGGGTCTCCCATGACGTGCATGACAGAGTGGCATGCTGACTCCTGTGCTCCATCCCTGGTGGCCAGGTCTCCCCAGGGTCTAGCGGTCGGCAGCCCTGTGCTTGTTTATGGCTTAGCACTTAGTAACTGATCGACCTTCATTTAGAAATGCGGCTCAGAGGAGGGACGAACCATTTTATTCTCCCCAGCTGGACACAGGGTCCCAGGTGGCTCCTCCAGAAAGAACTTGCAGCCCCAGCGCACCCCAATGTCTGTTCTCCTGCGCCCCCTGCTGGCCAACTTGGGACAGAGTCCTGCCTCCACTTGCAGCCTGTGAAAAGTCCAATTCCTGGCAGCTGAGATCTGTCCTTCCACCTGCAGCTTCCCATTGTCAAGGGATGGACCTCAATAATGTGAAGAGATGGACCTCAGTAACCATTACAACTTGTCAACTGCCCTTTCACTGGATCCACTGCCTGAACGCTAGTCACGCTCATAATGTCTTGAGAGTCTTTTACAATTAGATTTCTTGGGATTCAACTCACACACGATAAAGTTTACCTATCTTAAGTGAATCAATTCAGTGAGTTTTGACAAATGTATGCAATTGTATAAACACTGCCACAATCAAGATATAGAACATCTTCATCCCCCTGCAAAGCCATCCCCCCGCCATGTGGACCCAACCATGGACTTTCTTTCCCCTTCTTTTCACTTCTTCTAGAATTTCCTGTACTGTTAGTCATACAGTGTGGAGCCTTTTGAGCCTGTCTTTGTCCACTCAGAGCACGGCTTTAAGTCCATCCGGGCTGTTGCATGCAATGATCCTTCATTCCTCTCTGATGCTGAGTAGTGTTCCAGGGTGGAATGTTTTCCACCGTTTGTTTAACCATTCTCCAGGAGATATTTGAGGTGTTCCCAGTTTTTCACTATTATGACTGTGCTACAAACAACTGCACTTAAGTCTTTGAATACACTCGATAACATACCTTCTGTCTTGGGTAAATACTTGCTGGTGGATTGGGGGGTTGTATGGCTAGGTGATATGTTTATAAGAATCAGAAAATTTGTTTCCTTCCCACCTACGATGAATAAGGATGTCAGATGTTCACTGCAGTCAGTATAGCACTGGCTGTTATTGTTTCATATTTTAGCAATTATGGCATGGCTAAATATGGGGTCCCATCTTAATTTTAATTTGCATTTCTCTAGTAACGAATGGTGTTGGGTACCTTTTAATAGGCTTATGTTTTTCATACTCTTCTCTGGTCAAGTGTCCAGATATTTTATATGTTATAAACCAGGTGCTTTGTCTTCTTAACAATGAATTATTAGAGTTCTTCATGTATCCTGCTTCAAGTCCTCTACTGGATACCTGGTGTGCAAATATTTTCTTCCAAAATGTGACGATCTGATAATTTTCTTCAGCAGTTTTCAAAGAGAAAGTGTTTTTAGTTTCGATGAAATCCAATCTTTTTTTATGATTCACTCTGCAATAACTCAAAACCTCTGTCTAATCCAAGGAACAAGGATTTGCTGTTATATTTTCTACTGTAACTATAAGTTCCATAACTTTAGCTCTTAGGTTTTGTGTCTATGGCACATCTTGAGTTACTGTCTCAGCATGAACTTGTGTAGTCTGTCCTCAGGGACAGTTGTTGCAGTTTGGGGCTCTTTGGTGTTTCAGCTTCATTAGAACTTCCCTGTGAGACTATCTGGGCACGAAGAGTTTTATGGGTTTGCTCCTCTATAACTTCTCTGCTTCTCATATGATTTATTTCTGTTGTATGTCTCCAATGGACCAATTTTGTTAAACTGTTATTTTCCTAAGAACTTTCCCATTTCATCTACATTTTAAAAAGTAGTTGCATGAAGTTATTCAGAGTAGACTCTT